TACTATTAGAAGCAAGCAATTGTTAGTAACAAAGGATAATAAGACTATACTACGATAACGAACGCGCAACGAGTACTAACGAGCGCACTATAACTATTAACCGATCGCCTACTCTTTTAAAGAATCTACCTCCTTACTAGCGTACCCTATAAGGTCCTCCTCTTAACGCCCCTTTTATTTCTACGTTCTATCGAGACCCTAGGGCCTAGGCGGTCGATAGAGGCGCGCGCGCGCGTAGGCGAATAGTGTTAGTAATAATAATAGTAACGACGGCGTTACGCTCGTACTAAAGGGCGACATAGCCGGCGCGGCTATATTAGTAACGGTATTACGGAGTATATTATTAGTCGAAGAAGGAAATCGAAAGTAAGGTAAAGTTAGCGCTAAGACGACTAGCGCCGCTATTATCGATATTACTTGCTATTATCGCTACGCCTATAGATATAACCTTACCTATACTACGAGCCTAAGGCACCTTTAATCAAAACTTTAATTAAAACTTTAAGGCTAAGTTAAAGCTTTAAGCCGCTTAAAAGATTAAGTAGACTAATAGACTAACTAACTAAGGGCAAAAACTATAGAGCTAAGCTAGCCGGGGTCGATCTTACGGACAATAGGTTACTTCTCGATCTTTCTAACCCTTTAAGCGAGGCGAACCTTAACTACTATACTTATAATAGCCTTTACCTATAGAAACTAGACGAGCTGTGTTTTTTCTAAAAAGTAAATAATAGCCCTCGTAATAATAAGAACAAACCCTCGGAAGCAGACAACCCTCGGAAGCGGATATTACTAGGTCTTTTAAGAGTAGACGTAAAGAACTTAATACGATATTACTTAGAACGGAGGTAGTACTATAATACCTCGTACGTCTGCCTATTATAGTAGGGAAGACGCGCTTATATTATAATTAGTCGAAGGCCTTTAATTCTTATAGATATATATTACTTTATAGTTTATTATATATAGAGATAGCGTAGTTAGAGTTGCATATTATACTATATTAGAGGTAAGGTTTAATATAGTTATATAATCGGTAGTTATGCGTTTAATTTAGCGCGGACTAAGCGGCCTATTAGACCTGCTAAGTTAGTAGCAATAGAGGTTGAGACTAGAATAAAGACCGGCTACGAGGGCGCGGCCTTTGGAAGGGAAGCGTATATCAGGACCAAAGAGGTTGTGCGTAATTAGCATATAACCGGGCTCGAGTAAAGCCAGGGTCTTAATGCCTCAGGCAGGGCTTGGCGCTTGGCAATAGGCCAACTTGCCTGCCTTCCTCCCTCTCCTCCTAGCTCCTTATCGAATACTACCTGTACCCACCACCACCCTATCTACCTGCTGATATAACCCTTCTCACAGTAGAAGCAAACGCCTCGAGTCGCTTGACCAGCTGGTGGTCAAAGACACGATCCTGCGTCCGTAGCATCCCGGCCGTCGCTTCATTACCTAAGGCGAAGCGCGGAGCAAGTAGTTGAGCGAAGGATGAGATCTTGGGTTCTGTGCTTCAGCGTCTGGACCCCGCAGCTAGTCAAGTGGAGGTCCTCGAACATGACCATTGAGTCAAGCAGACAACCAGCAGTGTCGTTCGGGAACCATGGGCGCTGGTTGGCGAGGTCTGCTTGCGTGTAAGTGCTGCCTGTCGGCGTAAGTCATGCTGTCGAGGCCAATGCTATAAGATACAGCCCTCACCACGCCCTTACACTCAGTTGAGCCATCAGCTTTGCCTTTCATATAGGAGGCAAGAATAGCCTCCGCAACGCTGTCAGAACATCACACAGTCTCAGCCCTTTCAAAAGCATGGTTGCCGTCAAGACCAGCGACGCCATGGCTCCTTGCCCGTTCTCGCCGCCATCGCCTCCCTGTCCGATCTGTGGTCAGCCGACGACGACTTGCGTTACGCGGACCAGCAACAGGAACGGCAACGCTGGACGACCGTACCTCAAATGCGGATCTTGTCGAAAGTTCATTACCTTCGTGGACAAACGAGGCATCAGCTCGAAGAACCCAGAGTGTGTCTGTGGTAAAGCAAGCCGCATTCAGGTCGCTGGGAAGGGAAAAGGCCGGGGGTTACACTACGTCTGTCAGTCCGGAGCTTGCGATTTCTTCGATGTTGCTCGGAACAAGGATGGAGACCAGATCAGTCTTACCGAAAAGCTGGTAGAGGATCTTGCTCGAATCTTGATCTAAGATCACTTTATTGTCAAAAGGTGGAACAGCAGAAAACAGAAGTCAAAATGTTTGTCCTCAGAGAGACGCATTTCCTCGTCAGCTCAACAATCCTAATGAGATCCAGGCAGTACCGCTTTCGCAGAACCTCATTGCGGATTCCAACAAGGTCATCGCGACAGCAAAAATTTAGTATAGTAGAAGCTTTACATCTTTTGCGAATCGTCATCCTCTCCATTTTCTTTCCGTCGCGTGCAATGACCGATGTGTACAATTTACAGGATACTTGTCTTCTTATCTCTTAGCACATGATAGTCGCTTAGACATGCCGGAACACGAACTCACCCGTACTTCGTAATCAAGTTTAGCCCACAGTCTGAGACGCGTCGGCCGTTAGTTAAGCCCGCTCCCCCGGGCATCTACCTCCGTTTAGGCCTTTGTATATTAAGAATTGAGTTGTATAGTAGATTGGCCGAGATTTAGGGTCTAGATCAAATTAGGCTTAGCTTCCGTCTTTCCGGTTAGCTAATTATATACTACTCTACCTAATTCTTTACCTAAAGGCCTAAAGCTAAACTGCTAATTTTTATCGTAGACTCCGCTATTAAACTACTATCTCGTAGCGACACTAACTATCGGTATATCTAATACGCTAAGATTATAGCGCTACTAATTGCGAATTAGAATATCTAAAAATCTCGTATATACGACGTATATATATTAAGTTATACTAAATCCCGCGAGGCGACTTTATCTATAGCTATCCGCTACTAGCGTACCTAATATATACCGAAACAATAACTCCTAAATCTCGCGTACCTAATACTTAGAGGTCCTTAATTAGGGCCTTCCGACTAACTTATTTACTATAAGCAACTATATATAACTTCTTACTATCGAGTTCTCGTCGAGGCGGGAGATAGAGGCTATAACGATCTTCTTTAATCTTAACCGAACTAACTCGAGGCCCTTCGTAGAGTACTTCTTAATTACTTTAATAAGACACTCGAGTGCCTACGGTATAGTAGTGCTAAGTTCTCGTTACTCTAGCGACGCTATTTACTAGCGGCTTAGAAGGCACTAGATTTATTACCTCTAATATACTCGAAACCTCCGCGAGCTTGTAGACCTAGTATTTCCGACTAATATTACTATAAATACCGTACTCGTACGATACTATATTGTTAAGATATAGCTAAATAGTAGACGCGACTTTAGCTAGCTACTCGAGTCGATATTTCGAATACTAATTAATACCTGCGATACTAACTAATATAAGCGGCTCTAACTTAACTAATTAAGCTAATACTTCCGAGCTTAATCGTCGTAGCGGAGATAATTAGTATAGCTCTTCTTATCTAATAGAAGCGCTACTAATATCTAAACTAGACCGTCGTAGCGAAGAAGATATTAGCCTACTACCTCGACTAGACGATAAAGATAAGGAAATGCCTACTCTAGAAGACCTGCCGCTACTAGGAGAGACTTCCGATATACTAGGCCCTTTATCCGATCTGCTAGGTCCTATATTCGCTAGTATATTCGCCGGTCTAGTACTTAATAAAGATCGCCGCCGCTAGCGCTAGTACTATAGCGACTACTATAACTCTAAGAATATACTAGGCGATAAGGACCGCTTAGCTACTCGCCGCTAGCCTACTCGCCTTTAGCCTACTCGCCTTTAGCCTACTTGCGGCCTTTAGCCTACTTGCCTTTAGCCTACTCGCCTTTAGCCTGCTCGCCTTTAGCCTACTAAAGAGCGCGCTACTCCTCGCCGCCTACGAACTACTAATCGCAATATTATATATAATTAGCTAGTTAATAATAGTCTAACTAAGGATAAGGATGCTAATATAGATAAAGAGCTATAGAGCGAGGGCGAACTAGAGCGTAAGCGCCGTGCTAGTAATGCCTCCGATAATAACGATTAGCCTATTTAGTATCCTAGTAAGCGCGGCTTTAATAAGATAAACGACGAGGAAGAGGGCGAACTCGAGCCTACTAGCAATCGTAGTCCGCGCCGTATACTAAAGTAGAAGTACGCCCTCGCTATAAAGCACCTTACTTAGCTTAAATTACCGATAGAGAAGATGTTATTTATATAGTTTAGCAATGAGGGCACTAAGACCTATTATAAGCGGGTATAGGCTATATAAGACATACTACCTAATAAGCATCTTATTAGTACTATCTAGCTACGAGCTAAGGTTAAGAACTTAATTAGTAAGAAGTTCTTTAATGCATACAAGCTAGAAGAGAGCCTTGCTATACTACGCCGCCTCTCCGAGATGCATAATGTAATCTATAGTATTATACCGAATTAGTACCGCCTGCTCGAGGACTTTATACTACCGAATACCCGCAAGGACACTATATAGCGAGCAATATTATTCGAGGACAAGCGTAACATAATATAGAAGCGTATCTATATAATTACGTGTATAGTAGTATATTCGATAGCGATAAAGCGAGCCTCCTAGATACTAAAGTCGCTTAGTCTACTCTTAGTATATATTAGCAATCTACTAGCTCCGCTTATCGACACCCTATATAGTATAGGTCTGCTTCCTTCGTATAGGACTATTTAGGCGTTAATTAAGAAAAATGCTAATACCTAGCGGCTAAGGATCCTCGAGTAGGCAAAGCTATATATTTAGTAGCTCTACTACGACAACTTTAACCGCTAGGCAAAGCGCAAGGATTAAGACATTACAGACAACAATAAATAGGTTAATATTACCAATTCGTATATCGCCCTAGATAATAATCTTCTAGAGGGCGGCTTAATATAGGACATGCCAGACCGGTCTAAGCTAGTACTAACTAAGAATATTATCTATAACATCGATAATAATAATACTATCGAGGCAGTCGAGATATACTAGCTCTACGAAGCCTATATATATGTATTCGGTAATGCGATTAAGGCGGTATTTAAAGCAGCTAAGGATAGAGGCTATCTAGTCTAGCAGCTAGAGTATCCGGAAATCGACTATAGCTTTAAAGGTAAGACCTAGTTGCTAGCTATGCCTCTATTATAGAACGACAAGATCTCTAATAAGGGCACTGCCTTAGTGCACGACGACATCTACTAAAGCAACCTTAGCCTAAAGCCTAATAATCCGATATTCGACAATCGATTGATTATTAACGTTAGTAATTAGCTTACGATCGAGCGTATACTGTCTATAATCTTTAGCGGTATTAAGAACAAGGCGGTATACGATAAGAAGTAGTATATCCTTTTAGTGCCTACTTAGTTCTGTATCTTTATAAACCTATACTTTACGCCTTTCCGTACCTACTAGAACAAGAATAAGGCTAGTAAACGCTTAGACTTCTCTCTATTGTCTAATGTTAACTTCTAGGGCATAAAGGAGGTTAATCCTAAATTACTAAAGTTCTTCCGTATACAGAGACTACTTAAGCGTTGTTTTAATACTCGAGTTATCGCTATACTGCTCTAGATTATAGTTAACCGTAGCTATATTACCGAGGACATTGTTAGAATAGGCTAAGGTAATTAAACTCGCCCCGAGGTTATTAAGCAGGCTATTATCGAGAAGATTACTGCTACTAAGTGTATAGATATCTTAAAGGAAATGTATAAGCTGCTCTTATCGCTAGAGGCATAGGATAGTATACCTAATCGACTAGCTACTACTGCTGCCGACGGCGCGGCACTAAATAGACTAGATACGGCCTTCACTTCGATATATAGACTACTAAAAGAGATCTCCTTGTTTATACGTATTCGCTATGCCGTCCGTAATTATACAGGATGTCGGTTATCTCCGTCGGTGCGTAGATTATACTATTCTAATATTCCTCGGTGCTAGATAGAGCAATTATAGCCGCCTAATAACCTACTTCTATTTCCTATTAAATAAAGGTAGTATAGCGGAGCTATAGAAGGCAGTTCTCGCTACTAGAAAAGTTAATTAATCTGGAAAGAAGGGCTGTACTGTCGGTAGTAATAAGATAATTAAGCTAATTAACTACGCACTCTCGGAGGATTATAAGCGCCTTACTAACTCGACTTATAGACTTGCTACCGCCTTTAAGCGAGTATTAATAAATAGGGAGCTATCCCGTCTTATCCGGGATATGTTTAAGGAGAATTCTAGTGTCTATTAAACTAGCTGTTATACCGAAAAGGACATTAGCGTAGGCGTATTCAATCGAGCCGATAAGATCCGTATCGATAGCTTTACGAAGTAGTAGTATAGAAGCTTTACGCTGTTAGACGATATCCAGAACATTAGCGTAGATTAGATACTAGCGGTCGTTAAGAACTTTAATACTACTAATTAGAACTTTATGCGAGGCCGTACTACCACACTACAATCCGATGCCTTAGACGGTCCTAATGCTACGGAGCGCCTCGAGGGTGTTAATTATAGTCTAATCGAGGAGGTAGTGCTTAATCTAGATCGAGACGATATATAGGTTTAGCTAGCAGATAGCACTACTTAGCTCTTCGAGAGCGTTAAGAGCTAGGACCTAACTAGAGCTAGAGCTAGAGCTAGAGTTAAGGGAATAGATATAGGCCTTTTAGTACGTATAGGTAGCCTCGGCGATAACGGCGGTAGTAACTTCTAAAGCAATAGAGTATAGCATTCGATAGATATTAATACGCGTAGCTTGATTAAGGATGTACTTTATAGTTCCTAACTAGTAGTATACGTAAATCTCCGTCTATCTGTCTATTCGTCTATCTATCTATCTATCTATCTATCTATCTATCTATCTATCCTATACATTCTACTTGCCTAAGGTTTCCGTCGTTATCGTGTTAATTACTTTTGCTAGCGCTAATTGCTAGAAACGCGCTTAATCGACGTATCTCGTACTAAATAACTAACTAGCTAACTAACTAACTAGCTAACTAGCTAACTAGCTAACTAGCTAACTAACTAACTAGCTAACTAGCTAACTAGCTAACTAGCTAACTAACTAACTAGCTAACTAGCTAACTAGCTAACTAGCTAACTAGCTAACTAGCTAACTAGCTAACTAGC